AATTGGTGGTTTGGCTAAACGGTGTACAAAGTCAGGAAACCCGCATTTTTAACTTTCAACCCTTTCAACTACTAAACAAACTCGAATGCTTATGTAAGCTTTATTAAAGGCACGGTATTATATATAAAAGTTGTGATTTTAATTATTAGTGACATACTGGCCTATACTCTTATCTATATTTACAGTATTCCTTCTTGACTTGGTTACGGGTTAATTGCGTAATCATCGCAGAGACGTAACAAAAGACCGTCTAAAGTTTGGCCATGCAGTTAAACAGAGCATTTTAGACAGAGATTTTCGCTCACATATTGTGTGGTGTTGGATTCTTTTTACATGTACCGGTTACCATACAATTTGTACACAAACTTCCAATCGAACTACAAATTGGTTAATCGCTTATCACGAAGACAACTATTCACTCTTCAGTACTTATCGCAGTAGTAAGTGGGGAAATTAGGGGGGGAACTTTCTGCCTAACTAATAAGACAATCGTTGGCTGAGTTGGATTTGAGAACAATGCGTCAATTTGTTCAATTTGGAATAGCCGTCGTGAAGAATGTGATTTCTTAGGGAGATAACAATTGCATTACAAAGCAGGAAAACTCGAATTACTTTCTTCGCTTATCCAACGTTCATGATACCTGTCAGTTTACCATGTAAAGCGGACATATAGCTGAACCACTTTTAATTAAAATAAATTGTGTTTGGTTGATTTTGTTGATTTGCAGAAATAGTCGTAGCTCTTATGTAGAGTAAAAAAATCGCTATTTTATTGGATTAGTTCAATAGGCTGCTAACACATGCTCGTCTGATCGCTTTGCTTACGTTAGCATCGCTTATTTTGCTGCCTGCTCTAGAAGCTTTAGAAGGCAGTTAGTCACATTTTATTTCATTCTATCGCCTTTTATTTATTAGAGGTTGTGCTGGTTTTCAGCATTAATAAGCGAAATTAAACAAAGGTAGTGGACTTTACATCTCAACCGTTCGAATTTGGGTAAAGGTGATGGATTAAGAAGCAACGGATGAAAAGACAATTGGATAAGACGACGTAACTAAATCGACTCAGAATCCCATGTTTCTTGAAAACATTTATAACATTAAATATTCAACTGAATAATTTCGATAGCATTAAGGGCTTCGAGCTGCTACTGAGATTTAAAAAAAAAAATTTCTTTTGACTCCTCTAAGAGATATATCTTTGTGTTGCTGACGGATATATAAATTATAAAACCATGATTAAAAATTGGAGGAACATCGTCAGACTCAAAGTCAAGTTGATATGAAAGCGAAATTCAAATTGAACCAATTCAGGTCAAGTCAAACCGAAATAATACTAAATTTAGATTAAAATTAACCTCGAAACTGCATAAAAAGTCAAAGCAAAAGTGAATTAATAGCGCAAATCAATTCAAAGCGTCGGGCTTAAAAAAATTAGGTACAAAGTCTAGCCAAAATTATGTACAGGTAAGGTCGAGTTAAATTATGGTTCATAAAACGTAAATCGTAGGTAATCTGAAAATTATATCAAAATCGGAATGGAAGTGCTGTCAACTTGGCCTGGATATCCAGACAAATCATGATTGTGTCAGTATTCAGGTTGACCTAAACTCATGGGCATTGCAAAGGTTAAGCCGAATTAACTTAACACAATAACGATTCAAGTCAAACCCGCAATAACTAAGCAGTCACATGGGCATTGTTGGCTTTTCAAGACAAACTCTTTTGCCATATTGTTTTTCCTTTGGTTGACATTTCTGACAGATTTAATCCGAATATTTTTCGTATTTCACTTAAAATGGAAAAATTTTCGACTCGTTCAAATGAGTAAAGGGAATATTGTCCGGGGCAACTTTTTTAAATTTCAAGAATGGCCAGCAGTTAGACCAAAGGAATAAAAGGAGTAAGTGAAGAAGTCGCACATGTTTCGACGAATTATCGTAATAAGAAGATCGAGTGTTAGTTGCTCGTAGCCCACAGCTTCCACACAAGTAACGTATAGCGATCCGACCGGTTCGACGGCAAGAATTCGTTTTGAACAACATCATATTAAATGAAGAAAATGTAATTTTAGAACTTTGTTGACGGTGTTGTAAAAGCTTTCCGCAAACAACGCATAACGCTTGAGTAATATCTCCCGTTAAGAGTTTGCACCGACGGCAAGAATTCATAATGCGCGACATAACGTTAAGTAAAGAAATCCTACTTTCAGTCACTGGACTCGAGTCGCGTTGCACAAGAAATGAAATAAATTTCTTTAGACATTTGTTTGGATTACATTTATTAAAAAATATTTTTAAAAAATTTTAGTCCGAAATATTAAAAATAAATTGACTAATTTTGTCATAAGAGGTTTATGTATATTTTTCTTCTCTTAGGATACATTTATTTATAATATATATATATGTATATATATTTATACATATACATATGTGTGTAGGACTTTTTTATTTCATTTATTCATATATATATATATATATATATTTCTCACATATTTAGTCTCAAATTTTTATTTTTTTTTATTTTTTTATTTATTGATATACACATATTATTACACGTATATTCACGTACATAAAGTAATAAGTTTATATTTTTGTGCATGTGTATCACCTTTTTTTTTGGAAAAAGACATTACATTGCACAGCTAAATAAGAGCTAAAAACACAATATCAAAGTGTTCGTGATTTCATTTAATAAACTAATTTGTTCTTTTGTTAGTTTAGTAATCACACAACCGCACAAAAAACGGGCATGTTTTTTTTTTTTTTTTTTTTTTTTTTTGTTTTTTTCCCCTTCTTCACTAGGACTACAATTAATTTTAAAAAATTTGCATTCTCGAAACTTTTCACAAATATGGGAGATCGGTGGCAATAGCTCCCCACGATGGTAGCGTCTTAAGCAGATATCTTCAACAATTAATTGCATTTTAATTTTCTATTGCTATTAGTTACCCTTTTCACATAATGTTTTGAAGGATAATATAAAGAAAAAAAATTCACTGCCGTCGGCAACTGTGTACAATGTTATCCAAACGTATAAATTAGATTTTTTACGAAAGGTCAACTCTTGTATCTACCGTCGGCGATAGAATCATTATGATGACAACTAGATACGGACAACTGTGACGGATTTTTAGTATAATAATCCCAAAGTGATAGGCGACAGACGAATAGAATAACAAAATAAAAAAAAAAAAAAATTGATCGAAAACGCTGCCCGCTGTTATGTGCTTAAAACTAAACCGCTATTGAATCTTATAATCATAACTTGTGTGTAACGAATGCATTAACATACATACTGGATGATTACATAAAAATAACAATAATAATTGTAATAAAAGAAATCTTTTGCGGCCAAAAGAAATGAAAATGTTTTTACATAAACTTAACAAACTTTGGTTTGCACTTTGTGTTGATATATATTTTGCGAATACATATATGGAACCTAATATAATCTTTTTTCGTTTTATTTTATTTTTTATTTTTTTATTTTTTTTGTCTTTTTTAAATTAACACATCGGATTATGGATATAAATGAAACTCGCAGATTGTGAATAAGTAAAATGCAGAGAGATTGTAGCTGAAGTTCTTATTTAGGAATAAATCCAATGCAATGTTCTTTCTCAGGTGTATTTATATTATAATAAGAGCGAGTCTTGGATTAAAAAAAAAAATGTATATATTAGATAAGACGAGTAAGACATATAAATTCGCCTTAAGGCCAATCGTGCGCTACTTACCACCTGCACGAAATTTCTCGAAATTGTTGCAACACTTTGTCAGCTGCGGATTCGTCAAATCGCTAATCCGCGATTCTTGGCCACTTTAGGTTTTCATGGTAAATATTTGTACGTTAGTTCAACATAATCGCTTTAGATGCGGCATTTGCGATAGCTTGCAAAATGTCGAAAGAGATAATGTTTTGAAATCGCAGACTATTTGCCGACAAGCAGCCGTCGGCGAAATGAAAGCACGTGCATAATAAAATCGGCTAAGAGACTGTACTAATTAAAGGGACTCGGAGGCCTACTTTTGAATGGATGCTGGATATGAATTAGGTAAAGCAGACTAAGCTTATGCTTTGGTGGTAAGTGTAAAAAGAAAATTTCTTTGTATATGGGTAAAAAATGTTTTTTCCTTTCACTAGTATTTGAAAATTCCAGTTTAATTTTGAATTGTTATTATTATAATTTTTTCTTTTTTTTTTTTGCTTATAATTATTTAATTTTTTTTTTCTTGATTTCAAAAACGAAGAAAGTTCGAACAAAGTGAACTAATATAAATAAATAACGCGAGTTTTTTTTTCAAATTATTTCCTTTTCTTTTTATCTTTTGTTTTTTTTTTAATAAACTAACTTTAAAATTTTGAAGCTTTTCTAAATTGTTTTATTTAACACAATATTTACTTAAAGCAAATTAATCGTTTTTATAAAAAATATTTTGTCAATGTGTATAGAAATTTATTTTAATTTTAACGAAACCTTTTTGCTTAGTATAATTAAGGGAAATGAACATTTTTGCTAGAAATTATTTGAGTTAAAATTAAAAACAAAAATTAAAAAAAAAAAAAAAACAAAAAATTATAACAAAATATCATTGTTTATTATATATAATGTTTTGTTTTTCTTCTTTTTTTTTGTTTTTTGTTTTTTTTTTTTTTGAACATTTTGTATTAATTGTTTTTGTAATATTTATTTCAAGTTCTTGCTTGAATTTTCTTAAGAAAATCGCTATAGAACTATCATTATATTTCTCGAATCACAATGCGCTTTGATTGGTTCTTAAACATTAAAATTAAAATAATAATCAAAATAGGAGTTGTACGCTCATATGTATATATAAAAATGTCAACGAACCTTAAGAAATAAAACTCTTCAAAACTGACCGCCGGTTACATGCTGGAACGATCTTTTCATGACCTGATAACAAGCGTCCAGAGATGACGATAGTCATTTCTTTAAATTTTGTTGACTTAAATGTTTAAAATTTGTTTAAGAGAAGAATTTATTTGGTGGCGTTCTCGACGGTTTGTGTTTGCGTCTCTGCGGAATTTACCGTGGGTACGGCTGGATTATTGTGGATTTCTAGTGAGATATGAAAAATAGATGGTCGAGTGTTTGGCCCAAAAAATCGTGCCGCAAAACAGAAAAGTTGGGCGAGTATATCCCAACATCCTGATTGTTCAATATCCGCTTCCGCTTCCGCTTCAACAGATGCCGATGCTGACGGTTGTGTATAGTTGGACGGTTGATTGTTGCGAGACGTGGTGGGTCTATCTTCTTGTTGTTGTCGCTCTTGTTGTTGCCGTCCATTGGCAGCTAAAAATTTTGCATTATTTGGTATGTAAAACGCTCGTGCCATTTCTTCTTTTTTTTTTTTTTTTTTTTTTTTTTTGATAAATTCGCAACTAATTCTTTTCAAAATTTACGATAGTCAGTCGAAAATGTCGTTCAGATATTTGACTTGTGCAAGAAAGGATTTCTCATCAAAAATTATGTTGACGTCGATTGCTTCTTTAAAATTTCCTTACAAGTTAACGGCTGGTTGTACTTAATTTTTATTGAAAGGTGCACAACTATTTTTATTTATTTATTTATTTTTTTACTTTCACAAAATTTAAAAGTACGTATTAAAGAAAAGTAAAGAGATTTCTTATAGGAGTAAATGTTCTCCTTGAACTGTGTTGCCTTGATAATGCTTCGTAAGCGACTGACTCTTCATATCCTTGTAACAATCTATTTTATAATATTTTGTAAGCTTCCTGCTGTTACGTTTGTTTATTGTGCTATATTATGTTTTGGGTTCAACAGCATGATAGCATAGTGGAAGCAACAGTGCGCACAACAACGACCACAAAAGTAATACAATACCTTTAATTACGTACACAAGCACACAAGCAAATTTCATCCCCAATTCATCCTCTTAAGCAAAGTTCATCATAAACCACCGCAAGCCCAAAGTACACATAAGTTATCAGATACGTACACAAATATAAAATTGCATTAGCACCTATGACACTGCTACTATATGTTTAAAGAGAGCAACGCTTGAAAAGGCAGACAATAGAAGAGAAAAAGAGCGAAAAGAAGTAAAAAGAGACCAAATGATGGAATTCACGTTTAAAAATATATGAGAGAACAATAGCTCTCTGAAAATTTGTATATAAAACGTTTACAGGTTTCACATCTAACACTTGTAGCTTCTTTAAACAAAACTTACTAACAGTCATCCCCTTTCTATCCTTTTTCATCTTGAGTGCAATACGTTGACATTTTCCTTTCACGAAAAATATTTTATCAGATAATTTCGATTTCGCTTAAATATGTAAAGAAAGGAGAGAATTGCTTAAGAAATGTTTTAACTTAAGAGAGCAAGTTGTGTAACAAGTAAAAGCTAACTTATTTCATTTAGAAGCATTTGTATGAGACTCGAGTTTTACCCAAACCGTAGTAGTTGCTGCTGTTGTTGTTGTTGCTATTATTATTATTATACAGTTTGCTCATAACAAAATCGTTAAACAAATTTGAAATCGACGCGCGAAGGGATGAAAGGAAACATAACAAGAGAATATATATATATATATACGGTTGCGATTTAATTGCCTTGTTCTTCCACGGCGAAGACTCCTGTTTAAAGATGTACAAATTTTCAGATCGTACGTGGTTCAAAGTCAAATTATGTTCTATTTCGATTCAGAAAATATATTAGTCTCTTATCGAACGCTTGAAATTCCTAGAAATTAGTATCGAAGCTCTGCTGAGCTATATTAGATGGATTACTACCAGTCAGTCATCGCCATCTTTCTGCATTTACAAATATTTGCCACAAGTAAATGTTGAATATTTTCCTCTCTCTTAGGTTACAAATTCAAAAAACTAATTTTAATTATCTTTAAAAATTAATTTTTATACCCTGCCCCTTGTTTGGTGCAAGGGCATGTCTGTCTGCCCGTCTTGTTCTCTTGTGCTGAAGCCACAGGCCACAATTCTTCAGATATTTTTGGTTCAAGGACAAATGCTATTGAGAATGGTTCGGATCGAACCACTTTTTCACATCATCGCCGATATAAGAACCCATTTAGAAAAGTGGTTATACGGGTATGATTGTGTTAAGCGAAGGCTTGCAGGGCATTTAATGGTGGGCCGTGTGAATTGTCTTTTTAAATTGATTTTGGTTCGTTGAAAGCAAGATAAAAGTTCTAAAATATTTTCAAATTTGGCTGAATTCTTCATCTCCATGTCGTCCACGATAAGTGATTATTCGAGGGAGCGAATGTCCAATTATTTGACATATTGGTCGTGTACTAACGGGGGCCAATTTAGATGATTTTGATTTTTAAATCACGTTTGTTTTTTTAAGCCAGTGAACAGCGCGGAAGACAAAAAGGTGGATACAACTATCTAAATTGGTTCTGACATTCACGCCTATCATGAATACCACAGCATTTAATAAGTTTCCGGTCTAACTTGCAGTTTTTTTTGCAATTTCATCATATAAACGCACACACAATGCTATATAATATTCACAATTGATCCTTTCAAAGATAATCGATGAATACTATATCGCGACTTTCGCCGGCTGCTATTTACTCAGCGGATCGTCGATGTGACGCTGGAGTGTACGAATGATTCTAAATTTCATCTTTTATGGTATATCTCATGAAAAAATACCTTTTATTTCGCCTAAACGGATCCAACACGTTGCTGCGTTTGGTAAAAAGTCAGCACACGCGACACCCACTTCGGAAAAGAGCTTTCTCATGGACAAATGCTCTTACAAAATAGCAAATACACTGTCTTTTGATATCACTAAGATGTCAGCTACCGCGGATAAAGTCTAGTTTTGTGCGCTTTTTTTTCTGTTTTCTCTGGACCAGAGCGCTCAGCATCGCTCGTCCGACACGATTGAGCTTAATATTAACAAATCATACCCAAATTGAATTTTTCAACAGACAAGAATCGCCATAATATCTTTCAAGGCAACGCTGACTGTGAACGGTGCTGTTTCTTATCAAGACGTAACGTTTAATCACCAAACGATATTCAGACTTTTGCCCTGCTACGAAAATTGCAGAGCCACGATCACTAAAACAATTGTAGGAAGTAAGTTAACTATTAACAGAGCCCAATGAAATTTTGACACGTGTCATTTGAAGAGTGGTTATAGAAACCATGGAGATAAGTCGAGAAACTTTGCCATAGATATCCGTTGAATGCGATTAGTATCTAAGCCTATCTATGCTATGTATCGTTCAAGCCATGTCTCTCTCTGTTAGTTGTGAAGACAATTGCGAAAAAACCGTTCTCTCAGATTTCTTTTGAACCCCTCTCCAATCAGCTGTAGTCTAATGTACAGATGTACGTATAACGATTAAAAACTAAAAAAATAAGAAAAGATTTTTATAATAAGTCGATGTTATGTCCTTGAAAAACGATTGAACTCGGTTTCAAATTGAAGTGAAGAAACAGACAGTTATGCTTTCATAAAAATTTTATTCGAATTAAAATTATTGACAACTTAGTCATATCTCTGACAATCGTATTTGTGGATGCAGCTAACGGAACAGTTTTCGTGCCCCTTCTTACAATGACTGCCCGTCGCTTCTTCTTAATATTATGTTAAGTACTGATATCTATCTAGTATAGCGCGTTTAACATATTAACAGATTACACATTAACGTCTAGTGGGTTAGTTGAAGAAGACAATACTTGAATATAATCGATTTCTAGGCAGTGAAGCTAACTAAGAGTTCTAGTATGCACATTGGTCCTTTTGTCTATGGATCTTTTATTTGTATTGCAGTGACGTAGTACGTATTATTATCAACATCTGGCTCAAGAGTACAATCCGTGAATTCTTTAGTTTATTTTTTTTTATAGAGAAGTTAGTTGAGAGGGCGTGATAACGATTTTTGTATTAACTTACGATTTCTCAATACATTGGATTTAATAGCAAAGAGGCAACAGAATCAATAGATGAGTGTTCGGCAAATGGTGTTGAACGGGGTTCAACTTAAATTCTGTAAATAGCCTTGAATAAGGACAATTATTAAATATTAGAATTAAATTTATAAACATAAAATATATGCAAACGATGAAAAATGTATGAATTGCTAAACAAGCTATTTTCCATGTATGTATATGACATTATAATATTAAAAGTTAAAATGATTTGACAAATGGTTGAGAAGGGTTTTTATTCGCAGTGTGATGTAGAACAACTCTTCCAAATTAAATAGATGCACGGACACCTACAGACACAAAACATATAAGAAAGTGATATTCGCTTTGCAGCGAATCTTTGCGACCTACCGTTCAGCATTAGCTGTGAGCTTTTTCTTTCTAAAAACGATCGCGAGATATTGCGCCTTAGCAAGTTTATGATCCCGTATTTAAGAGAAGACAAATAAAGTAAAATGTGTGTTTGTTTGTGTATGTACATTTTCTGTCTATAAAAAAGGTAGCACTTTATATGTAATTATATTTTGATTTTAAATTTTGGAGCCGATATTGATCAGGATTTTACAAAGGTATACCTATAAGATCGATATACAATTTCTTACTTCTCAGCAACATTAATTTTTCACTCTTTATTCTCGTTTTTGTTTTTGAAATATAAAACAAAAGGCTATACATATGTGTATATACACACAGGACATATATATTCATATACGAAAAAGTGGGAACCGTGAAGTGTTCTCCCAGGAATATTTTCAGGCGTTACAAGCTGGATAACATTTTAAATATGCTCACATATTTCGATTGTACGCTTGTGTATATCTACGCTTGCAAATCTACGAAAGACGGAAGACACTTTTTTGCCTAACTAACTGATTGTCATTTTCATATGTGAAGGTTTGAGTGATGTTCACACTTCTCCATTGATATGGCAGATAAGTTAGTCGTTGAAAGTTTTTATACGTATACGTACATATATATATATATATATGTGGATATGTTCATAAGTAGTTAATCTTGTGCTGTCAAAATTATTTATTTTCTTTATTTTCTCTGTATTTATTTTTTATTTATATTTTTTATTTTTTTCTTTCGCTATGCATGAACGCTTGCCCTTCTGATTATATCTGCATATGTAAACTTGTGTTTGAGTTACTTTATATTTTAAAGCATTATTTATAGTTTACACTTAGCTGAGTAGTTGAGTTAGAACGATGTGTCATTTTCATTTTAATATTAAAATTAATTCTTCAAATAACTGTTTGCCGTTAAATATGTGACAGTGCTTAGCTTCACTAAATGCATTTACAGTTAGTTTCTTAGTTTCGCCCTCTTTCTGAAAGTTCACGGTTTTGATTTCATTGTTAAATCTAAAATTTATTTACCATAAAGACGTACTTATATATATATATATATATATATAGATGTATTTATGTATACGTGCTTGCTAATATATTAAGTTAACCTTGATATTTTCATTTAAAATGCATGAAACGATAACATTTCATATTACACTCCTTCTAAATCTCTATTCATTACATTTTA